CAAAAACCCCAATAACCACAAACCCTCAAAACAAAAAGAAAACATGTAACTGGAGATAACATTAAAACCTGAAATTCACTTCTAAAATATGAGAGTTTAGGATTCTAAAATCATCTACTTTATAAACGATGTACATGTGTGGGAGAAGGATTGAAACTGTACAGTCGCCCCTCCATTTTTGCGACTTGATGGATGGGGCTTGCCGGTCTGCGAAGAATGAGACCGCAGACTCGAAGTCTGCGAAAATGGAGGGGCATCTGTATTTCTAAAATTACTTAGATACCGCATTCAGTCCTATGGCCTGTATTCAATTTCTTGTCCCAACTGGAGTAAAAACACTGAACCATTTGTTGAGTGGTAAACCAACACTTATGTAAAACCCATTGTTTCAGTGGGTCTCCTCTAGTTGGGATTACCAATTCTATTTAAGTCCCTATTTGGACCCTTCAGATGATGGGGTGAAATAATGGTTAGATTTGAATTAGGCATTCTAGGGAAACAAAAACACAATGACTTGAACCTCCATGAAGATCACTTGTTTGGCTAACAGTTTAAGTGTACACATTTTTAAAAGGAGGAGAAACCAATCGTTAATATTTCCCAGTTCAATATAGGGTTGTTTTCCTTTTAATCTGCTGATATGGCTCACATGGAAAACAAATGCGAAGAAAGTGTGCATGAGAAATTAATTAAGTTCTCAAAATTTAACAAATTCACAAGATTAAAGGCCTTTGCAGATGGAAGCAAGGAGGCAAGGAAGGGGAGGGGCAACCTCACGCCGGGTGCCCCAACCCCTTCCCGGGGATGTCATTGGAGTGCCTGCCATTCCACATGGCAGGCACTCCGATGACGTCCTTCTGGCTCAGCGTCCCTTTCCATGCCTTGTGGAAGGAACGCTATTTTAGCGCTCCTTCCAGGGCCAGAAAAGGAGTGGATTGGGGCCGAGGCGTGGGGCAGCCTCAGTCCCAATCTGCAGCTTCTCGGGGTGGCCCATGGCCACCCATCTGCAGAGGCCTAAGACTTTTTAATATTAACATTTTAAAAAGATTGGTTTTTTTTTTTTTTTGGTAGAAAGACTGCTTGCTTAAATTACTTTAAAATGTATATTTCAAGAAATTGGCATTAAGTAGAGAAATTGGCATTGTTTTTTAATTTTCCCACCTTTCTTTCTTTCTCAAGGAGGGTGTGGTGCTCGTTCACTGCAATGCTGGAGTGTCTCGTGCAGCAGCCATCATAATAGGCTTCCTTATGCACTCAGAAGGACTCAGTTTTGCCAAGGCCTTTTCTTTGGTAAAAAATGCAAGGCCTGCTATTTGTCCAAATCCTGGTTTCATGGAGCAGCTCCACAAATATCACCAGTTGAATAACAACAAAAATGGGAACCTAAATGATTCCGAATGATGAGAGATGAATTACCACTGTAATGAGAAAAAGTGAATTTGGCTACAATGTAAGGAAGATGTCCAGAATTACTAAATTTGTCATTACAAATTTGCCTTCACTTTTCAGTGTATACCTTTATATCTACTTCACCAGATTCTTTATGTGTGTTTTCCCCAACTTTTTACAATAACGGACATAATTATATAATGAATTAACCTGGATTGACTGTGTCCCATTGCTCTGCTGGTGGTTCTCTTACTATGTTCTAAAAATGTTTAAGATCGCAGTATTACACTTATTTATTGTATTATCTCTTTATAAAAGAATCTAACCTAATATTCCTACATTCTCTTCAAGGACACTTAATCTCAAGAACTCATTTTTACTAAAATGGGGAACAACAGGGGGATTGTTAGGCCTCAGCAGGGTTAGGGTGTTGGGCTCGCCTTTGACCATGAGTGACATTGGCTGTCCCTCCAAGTTCATCAAAAAGATCACAATGATCCAAAATGGTCAGGGATCAGGTTCTAGAATAGAGCTATCTAGCTTTCCAATTATGGCCCTAAGCAGACTGCCAGAAATAGTGCACATTAAATTGAGGCACTGCCCTGGCTCAGTGCTAGGGAATCATGGGAACTGTAATTTATTGTGGCAGCAGAGCTCTCTGACAGAGAAGGCTCAATATCTCAGAAAAAAATACAGTTCCCATAACTCCCTAGCACTGAGCCAGGGCAGTGCCTCAATTTAATGTGCATTATTTCTGGCAGTCTGCTTAGGCCTTATATTTAAACTATTTCCCTTAATAATGCAGCCAGAGCAGAAATCAAAATTGACAATAACAAACAAAGAGAGCAAGAACCAGGCAGTGTTCTCACATTAAGAGACAGAAGTTTCCCAAAGAGAAAGGTGGGATATAAATGAAATAAGAGCACGCTGCTGGAGATGGATAGCTCAAGACTGGTCATTGGGATCAGCCGACTGTAGCCTAGGTGGCACCTTTTGGGCACAGATCTGTTTGTCATGCTCACAGCGAGACCAAGTTGCTGGTGAGGTGCTGAAACTTGACCAGAAGTAGTGTCTTACAGTGGACTGGGTTTGTGGAAAATGTGCTAAACAACCCAACTACAAGTTTAATTTTTTTCATTCAAAATTACAGTACATGCCAGTAAGCACCAGCACTGAACAATGTGCAGGCTACACTCGTCCCTCCGCATTTGATTATTCACAGATTTTATTAATATGTTATCTCTAGGAATCTCTAGGTCCTCCAGCACAACTCTATGGTCAACTTTAACCAAAAGTCACACTGGAGGACCCAGAGATTCCTAGAGAGAACACTCCACTAGGCATTTGTAGCTCCTCTAGTGCACTTCTATGGTCAATGTCTGGCAGATGTTGACCACAGAGTTGCACTGGAAGACTTAGATATTCCTAGAGAGGTGTTCTCTCAGGTAAAAACAATGTTTTTGTTATTTCTGGTTTTTCCACATTCACGGGGGTCCTGTGCCCCTAACCCAGTGAATGTGGAAGGAGGAGTGTATTTGACTTTAAGGTCACATGCAGTCTGTATCCAAGGCAGTGTGGGGTACTGTTTTGAGTGCTGGACTAAGACTCTGGAGACCAGGGTTCAATTCCCAACTAACCCATGAAACTCCCCTCAGTGACTTGGGTGAGTCACATGCTCTCTGCCTCAGGGGAAGGCAATGGCCAACCTCCTCTGAATGAATCTCATCAAGAAAACCTAGCAGATTTAAAGACTGGCTGAATTCCAGAGGCTTCCAAACTGAGAGACTTGCTGAAGTTCCAGATCTTTTACGAGAGACCCACAGAGTACAAGATATCTGAGATCACCGTATTATTACAGGTGTCCTTTTAAAATTATGTGTGTGGGCTTTCAGTGGTTGCCCCTGTGTGAATTTGTCATCCTTTCCCAACAAACAAGCCTTCTGTGGCTATCGAGGTTAGTCAGCCTCCTTTTTGTTGCTTCCATACAAGGTGATAACACAGTTCTTCCTCTTGGCTAAACATTCATAATTCAATTTCAGAATGTGCTGCTGGTACACATAATGATGAGTCTCCTGAGAATGCCATTCCCTCCACATTATATATTATATTCCCATCCACACTGCAGAAATAATCCAGTTTGACAGTGCTATAACTGCCATGGCTTAGTGCTAGGGAATCCTTGAAATCATAGTTTGTTGTGGCACCAGAACTCTCTGACAGAAGGATAAATGACCCCCCCCCAAAAAAAAAACCCCTCCAGAAAATCCCATAACATTGAGCCTTGGCACTTAAAGTGGTATCAAACTAAATTATTTCTAGTGCAGATGCAGTCCATGGCTTGCCCATGGACTCCCATAGGCCCTTTCAGTTATTCATAAGGCCTTGCCCAGAAAGGGCAGGGGGATTTGTGGTGCTTCAAATATTTGAAGACTGGGTGCATCTCCACTGTAGAAAAAATGCAGTTTGACACCACTTTAAGTGATGTAGCTCCATCCTATGGCATCCTGGGTTTTACAAGGCCTTTAGTCTTCTTGGCTAAAGAGTGCTGGCGCCTCACAAAACTACAAATCCAAGGGTTCTATAGAATGGAGCCATGGAAGTTACAAGTGGTGTCAAACTGCATCCGCAGTGCAGAAATAATCCAGTATCCGCCACTTTAACCGCCATGGCTCAGTGCTGTGGAATCCTGGGAACTGTAGCTCGTTGTGGCCCCAGAGCTCTCTGACAGAAAAGGCTAAATGCCTCACAAAACTACAGTTCCCAGAATCCCATAGCATTGAGTCGTGGCGGTTAAAGCGGTGTCAAACTGGATTATTATTTCTGCAGTACAGGTAAGACCAACAGTGTAAACTCTCTTCACGTCGGGGGGATGATAATCTCTGCATCCAAGAGATGGGATTCGCAAGGGAACTGACAGTTCCGAAATCCACAGTCGTCTCCGCCCCTCCCCGATTTTCCCTTAACCCGGATGTGACGTAACCCACAAACCGGAGGCGAAGAGGAGCGGAACTTCCGTTCTATTTGAAAGTAGCTTCTTCTTTGGGCGGAAAAAAAGAAGAAGAGAGCGTTGAGTAGGGGCGCGTGCGCTTGTGCACGTGCGTCTCAGCGGCTGTTTCCCCTCCCCCGGCGGCGCGCGCTTTCTCTCTCTTTCCTGATGTCTGCCTTTGCCATGGAGCTGCCGCTGCCTTCCCCTTCTGTAGGTGAGTACCCAGCTTCGTGAGCCTCCGGGGTTTGTTGGTCGATTGACCCTTTTCGGCTTCCTTCCCTCCGCATTGTGTCCCTCCTTCCTCGGGATTCGTCCAAGCCCTCAGAGCCCCTCGGCCGTTCAACGGCCGCCCTCGCGGGTTGTACTTGTGGCGCGCGCGAATGCGGGGGCGGGCGGGAGACTGGAGCGCGCCATCCGATCTGAGGGGGGAAAGAAGGGCGGGGCCTCACTCTCCGCAGGTGGCCGCTGCCTGTGTGACGTCAGTGGGGACGCGGAACCGCCTGACTCCCCGGCCGCCAAACAGAAAGCCGCGATGAACCCCGCGAGCGCCTCCAAGCGCCTCCCGAACCCGCCTCGGGAAGTTACCTTTGCTTCCGAACCCGTTATCCTAGGTACGCAGGAAGTGGGCAGAGTGGGTCGAGCGCTGGACTACGACTCTGGGGACCAGGGTTCGAATCCCAGCTCGGCCATGTAAAACCCACTGGGTGATGACCTTGGGCAGGTCACGCTCTCTCAGCCTCCGCAGGGGAAGGCAATGATGGCAAAACTCCTCTGAAGAAACCTTGCCAAGAAAACCCCATGATAGGTTCACCCATTTAGGGTCGCCATGAGTGAGGAGGGCACACAACACAGTAGGGAGAGGCGGGAAATATAAATAAATAAAAATATTATTAATTCTTATTAACACACACACACACAGAGGAGGAGAGGGTAGACACCAGCCTTGGCTTATTTTATTTATTTATTTATCTATTTATTTGTAGTATTTATACCCCGCTCTTCAGCTACAAAGGCTCTCAGAGCGGCTTACAAATGGTTAATTAAACAGATCCCTGCCCTCAGGCTTACAATCTAAAAAGACACCACATGGGACAATAACTTCATGTATATACAGAAAGAACAATTAATAGACTTTCTTTCTTTTTGGATGTCGTATGAATGTATGCTTGCAAATGGAATAAAGATATTAAAGAAAATAAAAATAAAAAGACACCACATAAAAGGAGAAGGGAGTGGCAGTGGGGAAGGGGATCAGGTCCAGTAATTCTTCTCTCCCTCTGAGGCCTCCTGTCCTGCCTCTCCCCCTCTGAGGCCGAGGAGGTAATGCAGGTAATAGACCCTTGTCTCTGTCCAGCAAAAGGACAAACCGTTGCCCTCTATACCAGTACAAGAATAAAGTGCAAGTGTAAAGAGCAGTGCCTGCTGAATCAAGGCTTCAGTCCTGTAAAGAGTTGGACCGCTTGCGCGTGTCGCCAAGCACCATTTTGTCTTCCAAAATGGCGTCCGGAGTTGTGCGCATGTGACTGGCATTGCATGTGCATGCGCACGACTCTGGGTGCCATTTTGGAACACAAAATGGAGCCCAGTGTCACGCGCACATGCGTACTACTCCGGTGCCGTTTTGTCTTCCGAAATGGCGCCCGGAGTCATGCACATGCGCGCGAGACGCCAGATGCATGCGCATGGCTACGGGTGCCATTTTGGAAGAAAAAATGGTGCCTGAGTCGTGCGCATGTGTGCATGCGCGCATGAGCGCACGCCTCCAGTACCCCGAAGATCTGGGGGCCAGCAAACTGGCCCCCAGATCAAAAAGTGTGGGGACCCCTGAGCTACACCACTGAAGGAAGGAGAGGCAGTAGCAAACACAGACACCTCTTCCTTCCTACTGCCTCTGATGTTCTCTGTGGTCCTCAGTGTCTCTGCTGGGTATTGTTTGATAAGGCCTCCCTTGAAGTCCTGTTTCTATAGTTCAGCCAGGCAAGGCAGCTATGCTGGGTAGAGGTCAGTGCCTGCTGAGTGAGGACTTCAGTCCTGCAAAGAACAAGAGCTCTGAGGGAAGTAGAGGTCCAAAGCAGTAGCAGATACAGCCCTCTGATTGTCTCTGTGGTCCTCAGTTTCTCCCCTGCTGGCTCTTCTCTCCCTCAGAGGCACAGGAGTGGCAGCTGGAATGGAGGAAGGGTGTTTAGGGCCCTCTCGCATTGCACAGTGATAATGCTACAGTATATTATTCCACACTTGGCCGTGGAAACCCCACTGGGAGACCTTGACCGAGTCACACACTCTCTGATGCAGAAAGCCCCCTTGAGGAAGACTGGAACAGTAATGAGGATGAAGTCTATGATCAGGCCATGGCCCTGCAACAGAATTCTTTGTTGCTGTGTGTCTTCAAGTAATTCCTCACTTATGGCAATCCTATGGTATATCTATCATGGGGTTTTCTTGGCAAGATTTCTTCAGAGGAGGTTTGCCATTGTCATCTGAGGCTGAGAGAGTGTGACTTGCCCAAGGTCACCCAGTAGGTTCACATGGCCGAGCTGGGAATTGATCGCCTTAGGGTTGCCATAAGTCAGAACCAACTTCAAGGCACACAACAACAACATCACTGCATTTTAACTGTTACGGCTGTATCCTCTGAAATTCTGGGATTTGTAGTTTAGCAAGCATTTAGAAGGCTGATAATTCTAAATGCCCCTCCCTAAACTGCAGGATCTCATATGAAGTTGTCAAGGCAGTTAAAGTAGACCAGTGGTGCTATATATTGTTTTGTTTAGGGGAAGACTATTGGATTTGAAGGAGGGAAACTTGGCCTCAGAAACAAATTCAGCTATCAAGTGGGATAGTTAGTTTGTGCTCTTTTGGTCAGTTGTTAAGGGTGTTGTTATCGTGTGTGCCTTAAAGTAGCTTATGACTTACAGTGGCCCTAAGCTGGACTTTTCACAGGGTTTTCTTGGCAAGTTTCTTCAGAGGAGGTTTGCCATTGCCATCCTCTGAGGCTGAGAGAATGTGACTTGCCTAAGGTCACCCAGTGAGGTTTTTTTATGCTCAGAGGATCAAACCCTGATCTCCAGAATTCATCACTCAAACCACTATGCAATGCTAGCTCTTGCCCTTACTCCCCCCTTAATTCATGGTTTGTGATCATATGAGTAAGTTACTTAAACAGTTTTCTTATGCTTTTGGATTTCAAATCTCAGCAACCCTAGTTAATTGTGTTGAGGAATGCTGTCAGTCGCAGTCCAGCAACGTCTGGACAAGTCACCTGGGTGCTCAAGTCTAGGTAATTTCTTTTTCTGCAGAGTTGCTGAGCCATTTTGATACGAAATGCTCTCCCACATAGGTGCTGAGCCAATGACGCTGGGCTCCCCTACCTCTCCAAAGCCAAGCGCTGGTGCTCAGTTTCTCCCTGGATTTTTGATGGGCGATTTGCCAACACCAGTGTCACCACAACCTCGCTCTTTAAGCGGTCCTGCTATTGGTGTTCTGGAAATGAGGTCGCCGTTGGTTGCTGGTAAGGTGAATTTGAATCAAAACAGTGGTGTTAGGCTCCCAAAGGAAGGGCATTCACTCATGGTGAAATGGTTTTCCCAACTGTAGATAAAGCTGTACTTCTTATGTGTATGGCTGTGAACTACCTTATATACTCAACTATAAGTTGAAAAATTTATGCCCAAAATTGACCCTAAAATCCTGGGTCGAGTTATATATGGGTCAGTACAGTAATACTGCTTAGAAAGGTCCTGAAAGAAACTCTGCCCCAGTATCCCACTCTTTGTGCCTCAGCAGTGATTTCTAAAAGAGTCACAGAGGCAGGGAGTGTGTACGAAAGAGGTGAGTAACCTCAGTCTAATGTTAAAACCTTCTCTCCCCAGCCTCCTCATCCCCCCCTCCCCCGATCTCCCCTGC